ATTCGACGACGGACCACTCGCTGTTAGTGTCGCTACAGTGGTAGAACCCCTACAGTTGTGTTGAGCAGTCGGATCGAAATCGGGCCGACGCGAAAGAGCATCAGCGACATTAATTCGTCCTGGTTTCTATTCGAAGAAGTAGTTGAACTCCGCGAAGAAAGACAGCCACCTCGCCATTCGTTGCAAGAGGTGCGGACTGTTTACGGGCGTGCGTAATGACGCATGGTCGGTGCAAACGATGAAGGGCCTATATCCTAAGAGGTATACCCAATAATTAACCAGTGCATTTTTCATGAAAAGGAGTTCCTTGTCATGCACTAGATAATTACGCTCAGCTGCTTGAAGATAGAGCGATTGATGACAGACGACGCGCTCAACGCCGTCTAAGTCGTACTGCACTTAACGCGCAGCCGATCGCAAAATTGCTGGCGTCACAGACCACATGGAATAGTCTGTCCTGGTCTGCAATCGCCACACACAGGTGATTGTATCAAGCTTTTCTTGATACCTTCGATAGAGTGCTGACACTCAGCACTCCATGACCACCTTTCGTATTTCTTTAAAAACGAGAGAGTGAACGGTCATCTCGGCGTAGTTGCACGAGTACTTAAGCAATTACGCCGCCAAGCCAAGGAACTTTCGAAGTCCCTTAACTTCGACTGGCACAGGTCAACCGCTAATCGCCTCGATATTTTGCGGACCAGGGCGTACGCCGTTCTTACCCATGATGCAGCCAAGAAGTGGTATTTCGTTCGCTACGAATGTACACTTCTCGAAGTTCGCGAACAACTTGTGCTCACGCATAATTTTAAGAACCTTCCAGACGTGGTTCTATGAACCTCCACGTTTGTATTTCCATCCATAGCCCGATATGGACGAAAACATCGTCAAAGTAAATCGGAGCGAAGGCTTGCGCCGATCGCAACAGATTTATAACAAATCTGTGTTGAACGTTGCAAGGGCGTTACTTAGCCCCTGTGGCATCACTAGCCACTCCCAGAGCATGCCACTAAGGGTGATCTCTCTCAGCCCATGTGGCATCATTAGCCAATACCAGAGCCTATCACTAAGGGTGCTCTTTCTCAGCCCATGTGGCATCACTAGCCACTCCCAGAGTCTACCACCGGGGGTGCTCACTGCTGTGTACGGGATGTCCCTTAATGCATTAGGGATTGATAGAATCCATCAATCAGATCCATGGATGAAAAGATGGTATTTTTTGCCATACCATTGATGATGACGTCCTTCCTTGGTATCGGCGTTTGAGCCGGTACCGCTGCGGCGTTCAGTTTGTTGAACGTGTGCACTGTCCGCCACCCTCCTGTTGCTTTTCGCACACAGAAGGTCGGAGAGCTATGTGGAGATGTTAATTCCGGCACCTGGCCCGCAGCTAAACGATCGGCAAAGAACTTGTCGATCGAAAGTACTTGTTCACGAGGCAGTGGCCACTGCTTCATGACACAGTATATTTAGCCGGGTTTCAGTTTGATCTCATGCCAAATGCCTTTGTCATAAGGCAACTCTCATGGCACACATTCAGGGAAAACATCCCTGAATATGACCAAATCCTTATACAAAGGATGTGTCATCAAAGACTCCCAAGATTGCGACGTGTATCGCTCAATCCGAGTCTTCTCATTGAGGACACTCTCGTACATCTATGAGCTACTGAGAACCCGTTCGTTCTCAATAAACACTTGTGCCAGCCGAATATCGGCGACGTACTCGTCCTCGGTGACGAGTACGCAGATCTGCTTGATCTTGTCACTACGCAGATCTCGCAAGAATCTTTTAGATTCTAGCGTTGGTAACTTGACTACCTCCGAAGCTGACTTCGGAGGTGTAACTAGATCAAGTGTATAAGCGCATACACTTGATCCGTCATTCACCAAGACATCCACTGTCTCGGTGCTTTCCTGGGAAAACACATCCGCAGGTGGTTAGGGACCCACACCCTCATCATATTTCTCTCGGGAGTTGTCACTCTCAGGAACGCTACACTTTCTTTCATTACGTGTACTTACTGTGGGTGTACTACCACAGTCAGGTCGTCTTCGATCGACTTCCTTTCAGTCTATCGGGCTTGCTCTACGATCGACTCTCTGTTAGTCGATCTCGCTTCAACGTGTTGTTCATCCTGAAAAACACTCATCTCTCTTCTCGAATGCACCCTTCTTGGTGTGCATCCGTGCTCCAGTCCACTCGATCTCTTCGGGTGGTTAACCTTCGGCGCAGCCTGTGTCTCTGCACAGGTGTCGGAAGCTGGTTCCATAGTGCAGTGGCCTTCTACACTGTGAACTTGTGCAATCGTACTAACGACCGTACCACAAGTGAGGCCATCGCACTCACTCGTAGTACATCCACACGCTTGTGGACGCTCCAAGACGTTCATTAAATGTCCATCCGATGAACAAACGGCAGGCATCTTCACGGATCGATGCTGCCAGCTGACCAAGGCTCGTATTTTTTGAGCCATGGCAGACCGAGGATGACATCAAATTTGTTATCCAGATCCAGTACGATGAAGTTATCATCGTACTGCTTTACTTATAGCGTGAATAGATTCCCACTACACGCTTGTTCACTATTACGGATGAGCCTGTAGCAAGGCACACCGTCATCCTCGTTGGAGGGAACTCTCGCTCAACATAGTTGAGCCTACTATCTTCTATCGACTGGCTTCGAATAAAACTGTACGACACCCCACAGTCAACTAAGGCGCGAAGTGACACTCCACTTGTCACTTCGATCTTCAAAGTGATGAGGGACTCCTCATCACTAAGGGCAGTAACTTACAGAGACTGCGTGTTGGGAGCAATATTCGTCAAGAGTCCTGCAAATTTTCTTGACGTTTCTGGATCAGCAGGGTGCTCTGCCCCTCCTTCCCCTGATTCTTTTGTTGGTGGCCCGACTTGCTGTCGCAAATTGGCTTTATGGTCTAACCCGCGCCTTGGGCCTTTCCTAGGCCTACGGCGGTCACCACGTCCTGTCTTTGGGTGTGAAGCGGTGCTTGGGACACTACACGCATGATCGTAGTGTCCAATCTTCTGACAGCGATGGCATCTTGACATTGGTTGTGACTCGGACAGCGAGAGTTGTCACTCTCGATGTAAAAGAGGTCCATTGGTTTCGGGAACTTCTGTTTCCTGTCGTCTCGTCTGACGGTAGTTAGATTAGTTCGCATGAGACTGTCTCAGGCTGAAGTCGTTTTTGTTCCGCATACGCTATCGCCTTTTCCAGCGTTTGAGAGCTCTCTCGAACATGTGGATCTTCATCGGCCCATCTACGATGCCGTAGATGAAAACCTTGCTGAGCATGTGCTCATCAATCGGGTTTTCCGTGACGCTACTCGAAAGGTAGCGTAGGTATTGTGCGTAAGCGTGCACGTCACGCTTACCCTGCTTGAGCTTCAGGAGTGCAGAGCATGATCTGAACTCGGCCCTTGGCGGCTCAAATGTTTCTTTAAGCCGAGACTTCAAGATCTTTAACGATTCAAAACACGTTTGGGTCGTGAAGCTTGAGCCCTAAGGCCCAAGTCATTGCTCGTCCTATCAAATTTGACAGGGTGAAGGTGACTTGCATCTCGTCACCCTCGATGTGACGGGCCCTGATGGCATCGTCTAACTCGACGAACCATCTCAAAAGGGAATCTTCATCGGTTCCCCTGTACCTTGAGATATCTATCTTCAAGATTTCGGGTCGAAGCATGTGCTTCGGCCCGCCTATCGACTGATGATAGCCTAGCTTTTGTAGCAAGGCTCTCTTCTATCTTTCGACGGCAAGTTCCCCTTGCAGGAACTTGTTGATAGCAGCATGTTGCTGGTCACTGCTTAGATACTCCAACATTCCACTGACAGCGGGTTTGCCCATGAGCACACTCATGCGGCCGACTACCTCCCATTCTGAGTCACTTAGATGGGAGTAGCCTTCACGTGTGACGTGAAAGCTGTCGTCTTCTACGTCCAACATGTTCATGTTGGACGGACACTAAGTAGTCGTTGGACGGACTACGAAGTGTTACCAGGTGTACCGGAGCACCCTTTGTTTGGGGCGCCACGAAACTTTACGTACACTAGTACGTGCAGAGGAAACTATCTACTTGAATTACTCGGTCAAGTAAAGGGTAAAAAGAGAACTCTGATTAATATCGTTAAGCTATCAATACGACATTAATGTTTATCTAAATATGCTAAACTACATCGTCGTATGACGACAACCTGCTCACCACTCATTACGCGCGTCTGGTAGCGATTGGTGGTATCCTTGGTTATTAAGTCTTTTATTCACCAATCTTTGATCAGCGCATGAATATTATCGAACTAAGGGAATAATATTCTCTCAATATCAACCATCTCGGATTATATTGGTAGAAAATCGTTACGATAGACAATCTCCCTATTGACACAGTTTGGTGTCAACATCATGTAACGGGCTACCCCGTTACAGCCGAATGTGCAGGGTGAATGAGTCTTGTAGAAACGTTGAAGGTTTTTTTTTAAACTGAAACCAATTGACACTTTCTGGAGTATCTTGTAGCTCCACGAATGGCGTTGTGGTGATAGGGACACAATAACTATTGCATGAGTGTGGATCTTGACCCCTCCATTTTATTCAGCCCAAGGAGTCCACATTTTCTTTTGGATGGGATAATGCACACTACCGTTGATTATGAGTTACTATAGGCAAAAGGGTTTATTACCATTTTTGTGGAAAATGATACCTATAAGCACGCACTAATTCAAGCGGAACCAGTAAAATCAGGGAGGTAAAAAATCAACAAGTCCTAGCGTTTATTCTGCTCCCTTTGTAACTAACTTTCCTCTTAACTTTGATTATTTTCCATAACATCCTCCTCCTCATCAAATTAGTACCCTCTGGATTATGTGATCAGAGCGAATAAGTTCCCCCAACTCGCGCCGTGACTTGTACCCAAACCCGAGGGGTACACGCCACTTCATCGGGTACATACCCCCCCCCTATCCAAGATTCCCCAACAGACCATGAGCACGGACGAGATCGGCAAGAAGGCGGACTTGGGCCCCGAGTACCAGCGCGTGCTGCCCCAGGCGCAAGCCGTCGCTGCCAGTGGCCAAGTCGAGCGTGCGTGCGAGATGCTGCTGACGCTGGAGAAACAGGCGCGTCTGGCCAACGACGTGGCGACACTGAAAGAGGCCGTGGGCGCTATTTTGACGCTCTGTGCGCAGCACAAGCGCTGGGACCTGCTCTGGGACCACGTGACGCTGCTGTCCAAGCGTCGCGCCCAGAAATCCAGTGCAGTTACGGTGATGGTACAGCGTACCATGTCGTACCTGGCCGACGCGCCTTCAGACGCGGTCAAGATGGAGCTCATCCACGCGCTGCGGACAGTGGCAGAAGGCAAGATCTTCTTGGAGAAGGAGCGAGCGACGTTGACGCAGATGCTGTCAAAGATGAAGGAGGCGCAGGGCGAGATCGACCAAGCAGCGACGATCTTGCAGGAGGTGCATGTCGAGACGTACGGAGCCATGACGAAGCTGGAAAAGACCGAGTTTATCCTGGAACAAGTGCGGCTCACGCTGGCCAAGAAGGACTTTGTACGCGCGAACATCTTGGCCAAGAAGATCTTGCGACGGACGTTGGAGGAACCGGGCTTTGAGGCGTGCAAACTCAAGTTTTACCACTTGATGATTGAGTACGACACGCACGAGAACGACACGCTCGAGTTGGGTCGTCATTGGATGGCTATCTTGAACACGGAGACGGTCAAGGAGAAGGACGACTTGTGGCAACAGGCGCTGGAACACGCGACGATCTTCGTCGTGCTGTCGGCGTATTCGAACTTGCAGAATGACCTGCTGTACAAGCTGGCCAGCGAGAAACTGACGGAAAAGATCCCTGATTTTGCTGCCATGCTCAAGAAGTTCACGACCAAGGAGATCATTGGCTTCCCTATGGAACAGGACCAAGCGCTGAAGGAACACCCGGTCTTCAAGCTCAGCGAACGTGGTGCCGAGTGGTGGAAGACCTTGCACACTCGAGTCGTCGAACACAATATCCGCGTGGTTGCCGAGCACTTTGACCGTATTCGTCTACCTCACTTGGCCAACATGATTGGACTCACGGAAGACGTACGTGTTGTGCTAGATGGCACTGATGACTTGGTTGTATTGTGTGGGAGTGATCTGACCTGTTTTGTGCGGTTCATAGTTGACAGAAAGCAGCATCTCCACTCTCGTGAGCAACGGATCCGTTTATGCCAAGATTGATCGTCCTGCCAAGCTGGTTTCGTTCCACAGACCACTCTCGCCGGAAGAGCAGCTTTCGAACTGGTCGGGTACGTTTGTCACGTTCACACGATTTCCTGCTGTTCGTCGAAATCACATGATTGATCAATCCATCAATGCGTCTCGTTGCAGCGGACATTACCCAGCTGCTTCGCCTCGTCGAGACTACATGTCACTTGGTCAACAAGGAGAACATGATCCACAAGATTTGAGCGCGCTGAGAAGACACGGCATCGGTACGGGACTAAAACCGAATAAAAGCACAATTGCAGTCGAACCAGCAGCTGTTTGTGTGTGGCTCAGCGTGGGGTACGGCTCGTGCGAGTGCTGCTCTAGTGTCATTCTCTGAACCTCATCGCTCTGTTCATCGCAGCTCTTAAGGAGAAACACCACCAACAACGACAAAAAAATACCTCGTACTACTCGTGTCGCCTGCTTTACAATAAACCCTCCTCAATAGCATCGTCAAACTGCCCCAATTCCGTACCGCAACGCTCCAGTTCAGGCGACACTTGCAGCATCGAGTCAAAGCGTGCAGCCAACTGGGCAGCTCTCGCGCCATCCGCCACTTCCTCCTCGTCACAGATCCACCCATCGTCCTCGCCATCCTCCTCGTCGTCGGGATTCATCTCGGCTGACTTGCACAAAGCATTGAACACCTCTTGCACTAGTCCAAGCAAAAGCCACAACCCCAAAGCCCACACCAACACAGAGTCACAACCCCAATAGAACCAGCAACAGCAACAAAAAAGCACCGACACGTGTGATCGTCCACGGGCACGAAGCGCACTTCCGACACGTCCTCATGGCTGATCTGGCAGTATAAACAGGGCCTGGGGAACGCTGCCGGGTCTCTTGAGATGGCGTGCAGCGTCACAGACGCCATTTCCCACGCGTACCCCACGCGCTGTTCCACTGACGCCCCAATCCACATCACGCGACTGGTGGTCACGAATAAGGCGCCACTTGAGCCGTTGTGCGGTAGCGTCTGTGCGTCTCTGTCGTCGCTGTTGCTGCTCGGGTCACTAGAAGAAGCGTAGATCTCAATGTCGGAGAAGGTGGCGAGCAGAAACTCCTCGTCGTCGCCGATGCCAGTGCGCAGCAGCGGCGCGTTGTCACCGTTCAGGTCAGATGCGGTCAAGACGTTCATTGCTGAAGAAAGTGTTGATGGAAGTGCTGGCGAATGTATGGCTGGACGAAATGGTGCGCCCACGACAAAAACATCGCACCGGAAGCGGATATTGAGATTGTAGCAGCAGCCTGGTTGTTTTGTTTGTTTGTTTGTTAAAACGTTTGTGTGTCGTGATATTGATGGGTTTTACCTTTTCAAAAACGGAGATAAAAACACACATTTACACGAAACTACGAAGGCTTTTAGCTCGTTTTTTCCGCAATGACCGAAAATGTCAGTGACAGCGGCATCTTTTTCGTCGTCGACATTCGCATTCGAAGCTGCTTCATAAATGTCAACATGACCATCTCAAACGCATTCTGCGTTGCGTTCGTGTCCGTCGCATCCTCATTGCCGGATTCCACACGGCTTTCTTGTTTTTCTGGGATCAACCGTGAGATCTTTGGCAATCTGATGGAAAGCTGCGACTTCTTCCCATTCCATAAGCCGACCAGACGCATGTCCCGAAGAAAAAGACGCTGCTCCAAGCCCAGCTCCAGGATGTACACGGTAAAGCCCTTCTGACCCGTACTCAGCACGACGCCAGTCACTTCGATATCACCATGGTGACGCACAAACGCACACAAAAACACCCTGTCACACTCCGTTTCCGCCTTCTTGGACGTCATCTTCTTTTCGTTGCAGTTTTGGGCTACCGAGGTGTACTCAGCCAATCTGAAATTTGCATCTGCACATTCGGATGCATCATCGTTGAAGGAGGATGCACCCGTCACGCAGCTCTCTTGAAGAAGACGATGCACGACAACGTCGGCGTAACGGCGAATAGGTGACGTGAAATGCGTGTAGTACGGAATGTTCAGAGCGTAATGGCGCCACGAATCAGGAGATGCGCCGTTGCCAGCCACCATATACTCAGCTGGCTTCATCGGTTTGATAATCAACGCCTGCACAACAGCAAATGCAACCTCGCCTCGATCTTGACGAATGCGGTCGAGGGACTCTGCCAGCTGCTTTGTCGATCTTCCGTCCAGCTTGATGTCGCTTTCATTTAGTCGCTCTAAAGTCTGATCCAGTGACCGCGAGATCGGCGGAGGGTGATGACGCAAGAATGCTAGCGGGCCATGCGCACGAAGCAACTGCTGAGCGACAAGGTAGTTTGCTAGCAGCATATACTCTTCCACCAAGCGGTTGCTGTCCTTCAGCTCATACGATCCATATCGAGTGGGGTTGCCCTTTGCATCCAGCGAGAAAACAAGCTTCAGGTCGTTCAAACTTACTGCACCCGTCTCGAAACGCATTGCGCGACGGTTTTCGCCAATGCTCCACAAATCTTTGACGCTCTGAATCACGGTCGCTGCAGTGATACCAGGATTTACACCAACAATTGGACGCCGATCCTCTTCCCACTTATCCACATTCTCTTCAGTAATAGCCCCATCAAGCATCATTTGCGCTGAGCCGTAGTCGAGCTTGCAGCACGAGCGGATGACGGACTTTCCGAACCACGGCTCGACACCGTCAACGAGTGTTCCATCTAAGTTCATCTGCCACACGACTGAAAACGCTAGCCGGTCAACCTGCGGTTGGAGTGAGCACAGTTTCTCGCACAAAATACGAGGTAGCATCGGAAGCACACGATTGGCGAGATACACACTAGTGGCTCGTGATCGGGCTTCAAGATCCAGCAGTGAGTTGTGCTCAATGAAGTGAGTCACGTCTGCAATGTGGACGCCGATCTCAAATTTGGTGTGCGCGTCGTCAAGCGCACGAATGTGCAACGCGTCATCTAGATCACGGGCATTGTAGGGGTCGATGCTAAAGACTTGCGTGTCACGAAAGTCTCGTCTACTCTGGAGCTCTTCGTTCGGTATCTCCCACTTTTCGCCGCTTGCGCCGTACTTGTCGTCCAACTCGCTCAAGATCGAGCTGTCAAAATCCAGCGTGTGCGCTTGCAGGCCGTGCTGAAACAAAATTGCCGAGATGCCAGTTTCGATTCCCGTGTACTCACCGACAGTTTTGACAAACTCACCCATCGGACTCTGGTGTTTAGTTGACCACGCTTTGATTCGGCAACAGCAGAGCATTGACTTCGAATACTGCATAGGGCGGCTGACAAACTCGTCTGGAAGTTGCAGTCGCGGAATCTGAATGTGCCGGGGCAGACGAGGGTCGTCGGCATTAAAATATGCGTAGTTGTCATTGCTTGACAGCGGCGAACTCAAGTCTTTCACTTTGGTTTTTGCTTCCAAAGATCCAACGAAACCGTTCGCATTCCCCTGAGCCAAGATAAACACCACACTCGCTGTCGGCCTTTTGCGAGAATCGATCATGCGCTCGTTTAGGTGGGCCATTGTCTGCTTCAGCATGTCAGTAGAGGTTTCAACTTCCGGCGTGCGTGTCGGAAAGCTCTGGTCGACCTGCACGTTCGGAAGCCAAAGTGAGTGCAATGCGCTCTGGTCCACCCCAGCATCCGAAGATATAAATTTCGACGCAGATTGATTGGCTGCATTCCGTCCATAGTCTTCGGCCAAAGGTTTCCATGCGGACTCGGGGTGCAATCGAACTGCTACTAAATCACCGTCAAAAGCACGATTGCGATCTTCCATTCCCTTTACGAGTACATCCACCGACAAACCATCCACCGTGACATATCCATCCGTGCGATACATCGGATTGACGCGAAGCTTACCTTGAAGAAGGCTTCCCATCTCCAACCCTCGAATCACCACGTCGTGGTCTAAATATTCCACGTAAGTTACTTGACCATGCTCACGAACATTTTTCCTCGATTTGCGCTTCAACTTTGTACTCGATCCGCTTTCTTTTTGCAATGACACCACTTCATCACCTTCCACCTGCTGCACATTTTCAGTCGTGTGTCCCACCCTTCCCTTCTTCTCAGTAGCTCCAGCGTTGTTCGCCTCCATCTCTTTCGTATTGCTGCTTTTAATCACTTCTTGTTTCTTCTCCTTCAGTGTCAAGTTGCCAGCCTTCCTGCTGTCTCGAGATCTTTTTCCAGCAGCGTCTTTCTTCTGCTGCTTCTGCTTCTTGCTCTGCTTCTCTTCCACTATCAAAACACTCTCCACCTCCTCCCTTTCCACAGTCTCAAGCAGCTGCCGCGTTCGTACCACCTCCACCCTCTCCCCCTTCTTCTCTGCCTCCTGGTTCAGCACCACAGCCACGTCCTTATCTTGCCCCGTCTTTTTCTTCTTCTTCTTCTTCTTACTCGGATCCCGTTGATTCACCTGCTTCTCTTCCTCCTTCAGATCGACGCCAGCGACTCGCGCGCTACCGACTCCTTCGTTCGTAGCCCCGAGCGTCAACTCCTCGACCTCGTCCTGTAAATTGACCATAACAAATCCAGCATCACCTAATGTACCCACCTCGTCTTCATTTGCAGCATGTGCGTCCCCATCCTGCTCCGTCTTGACGTCGTGAACCAGCCGCTTCTTCCTCCACCTCTGCTGCTGCTTCCACTTCCACTTCTTGCTCTTACTCGCCCCCTTGACAAACGACTTCTTGTCTTCAGACGCCGTGAGTGGCGGCTCGTTTGAAGCCACGTCCTGCTCTTGCAACTCGATCGCCTCGTTCTGCCATCTTGGCTGCGGTTTCAATTCTGACGCCACTTCTGGTCGTTTATTTGAACCCACCGATCCGGTCGACGTCTGTGGTGCCATTACTCTGGTACAATATATCCATCGGTCGGTTTGGATACACGGACTGACTATGACTTGCTGGAGGTGGTGACGTAATATCAGATCGAAGTGAATGTTGCAGAAGTGTAGAGGTGGATGAGGGTTTGGCTACACTTCGGCAGAAGGTGCAGAAGTTGTTATCCGATTGCTAGTAACACCTGTCACTCTTGCTTGTGTCCACTACAGTCGCAGAACTCAAATCAGCTTCGCATAGAGTCACTGACGATGGATGTGAAATTCTACTTAACAAGAACATGGGACGGGCGCTTGCTTTCACTCATTGAAGGTATCTTCGCGGTTCTAAGATATACTCGAAAATCTGCACGTGCTTCCACACAAGCACATTAATCGTTCTAATCTAGCGAACGGAGCGATACACTGGTTAATGAGTGGCGGCCTCGCCGTCTCAGAGCGTCATACACTTTTAGTAGCTCGGGAGTTGTCAATCCATAGCATTTCTACGCGCGAACGTAGAGGCGCCGACACAGAAATCTCGACTTTAGGCCTGCTTTGACATGTGAAAACCATCCCGAACCTAGTCGACTTGGTCCAAGGTCTATCACACCATGCTACCTTATCCGGCGCTTCAGTTTTGGCATGAAAATCCCAGACATCCGGCACATCTTTCTGTGTCGATCGATAATCAAGAACGTCCCTGCTCATGGTCTTCGGCTAAACGCGAAAAGTGGATTTTATAAATGTCTGGGTGAAAAGCTTACACGCTAGCTTGGATGTACGATGTGTCAACAATGTAATCTAAACACAAGAAACTAGCCGCAAACACTGCAACGTAATAGTGGAGCCAACAATCTTACCCAGATCAGTGCGTGTCCCTTATTAACAGCATTTCTACATCCTTGATGCCTTGAAGCTGCCCTCGTTGCAAGTACGGCAAGCGAAGTCGATGTTATTGAGGTGGCGAAAATCAAAGTGATATATTCTTTCTTGCCCTCATTTACCACATACATAATTGTAACGTGCCTGTAGCACGAGGAGGAACGCATTTCACGGAAAACCTCCTTTAACCAGACGTACTCCTGTCGACCTCATCAATCAAGCAATCAATCAGCCAATAGGTCGGACCATACTGCAAGCAGCAGGTCACTCCCAATCTCTTCGTTAGAGACCAGGCTTTCGCCAAACGTGAGCTTCTCTTTCCCGGTCTAATCGCCTCGGGGAATCGCTCATACTTTTGACTGACTATGCGTTCATCGGCTTATCTGTCCGTAACGTGCTCAGTCAGGAGATTAGAAGTGCTCGAGAGCAATGTGATTGCGAAGGCGGTTGCTACATTGTTGCCTGCGAGCATGGCCTTCATGAAAATTCCAATGTCGTTGTATCTCATCTTAGATTTAGAAATCGCTTGGTGGAAAATCGTTGCTCTGACTGAGATCTTCAACAAAGTTTTTGAGTACACAGGTTTGCTGTAAGATTCTTAGGATAGTCTAGCCGACAGATTGGTGCATGTAAGCCTTTAAGCGTAAGGTCCTAGCTCCGTCAAAGATAGTGTTGATCTGATTTGGAGAATTTCAGCAACAAGCAGATACCGTGGCTCGTATTTTACTCAAGGCTTGCTGTCATCTCGTACAGAAAAACCGGGATGACACGCCACGTTGACATGAAGTTGTGTCAACAAGGACAGCAAGGCAGACACAGGCATAAATAGTGATCAAGCACGTGGTTAGACCTTTGCACAACATACTGTAGAAACGACTCGGCGAGTCAACAAGTTTGTCAATGAGCGTGAACTGGATCACGCGAGATCGAGACACTTTCCAGTGCCGATAGGATTCATAGAAAGTACGAAAATGCTGCTCGTCGAACAACAGATCTACATCAACGTTTGTTAGTCACCATCATTTCATAAACTTAGGCGCTTCAAGACAACAGGCGCGCGCGCCTGCGGGAAGGAAACGTCGAAAGGGTAGTCGCGACGATGCAGTAGCACCCAGGCAGCGCTGTCCAAGTGCCGTAAATTGCATATGCGACATCCAGGAGCAGTCATTGCTATCATGACGTGGTGGCAGTATCGTAATGTGCAGTGGGGCTACAATACTCACAAGTTCAAGGTAAAGTCTCGCTCAAGGAGCCACTTGGTTCTACAGAACTCAGTCAAGCGACTTGAGGAGTCGTTTATTTACGAAGAGCTACCCACATCCATTCGATACCCAACAGCGACTTATATACGAGAAGCGCTCAAGGGTCCTTCAAGAAGACATCTTGCATTTTCCTATGATTCATAACATCTGATAATGGCTTCGAAAATCGAAACCACGGTAAAGATAGGGAAGCAACTTATTAAAGCTCGCCTGGTGATGCATGTAATTTAGCCCAGAGAACTCAATCAACTTTTATATTCACGTACCCATTTTAGGGGGTTGGCGGCTAGGGAATAAATTGTGCTGTGTGTGTCAAATGACGAAAGTGCTGATGCATTGTGTGCTAAAGTTACTAGTTGATGTTTGGGCGGGGCTAATCCGTGCTATGCATTTCGCCATCCCGTACTGCAACCGTGCCAAATGTTTTTACGGACAAAGTAATAAGCAACACGTTATTATAATTAAATCGAAATTATGCTAAAAATAAGTTGGTGAGAGCTCCTATTTCGTATTGATTGTCCGAACGTCACGGTCGATTTGGATCCCAGAACCTTGTCTAAATTGCATTTTTCGATAATGATTTTACTGGAACAATGATGAATGGATTTATGGTCGCGATGGCAAGCCACCTTACGCGGTCCAAGTCCAACGTGATCCTGCCATATACGGCACATTGCTCTACATTCGATGCTCGGAGCCACACGTTGTTTTGCCATTACCATTCAACAATTGAGTAATGCCTCCCAACCACCCACATCCTAAATTACGGCGGTGGGCAACGACGATACTGCTAGCCCCCCACACATCAATCGGAACAGAACTAGCCAAGACAGATCTGGCGTACGCCACCAACTTCATGTCGGCACACCTTCCAACAGAAACAAGATCATGCTAATAACGATGTCAGAACACGTCGAGAGCCAATCGCTTCCAAGGCTCCATAAAGGCGACGTTCTCAAGATTCGAATGGAACCTAAAGGTATCGTAAAGACGATAGGAAGAAGGACAGAGCTCGTCGGATTTCAGGTACATCTGCAGGATGAACAAGGTACAACACCAATCACTTCTTCTTGTACATTTCTCTGTCGGTTACCGTAAGGGGTCTCGGAGTAAGTGGACAGTGTTGTAAGGGGCAAGGCGATAACAAGTCGAGCATCGAATGTTCGTAAACGCCCAATGTATTCAGCTTTACAGGCTTGGCTACCCATTCGAAGTGCGGGTGACCACGGATCGATAGAAACATGCAGTAGCAACCAGCATACTTTTCCATGCGATCACGCCAATAGGCGCACTGATCATATAATATGGACGTGCATTCGCGTCAAAGCAGCTAAAACCTTAGTATGACGACCGCAAAATTTTTGTAATAGTAGCACATGAATTGAAAGGGGAGACCGCCGCGAACATTATTTAAGTTTGCCTAATGCAAAGCCTTTTGGGGTCGATGGATTGGCCGCTGGGTCGGCCAAGCGAAATGCAGTGGCTCTAACAGAATGAAGTTTTCCAGCTACGAGCGTCTCAAAGTGCTGGGAAATCGGTCTCCTTACGTTGAAAGCTATTTCAACATACAGGCATCGCCTGCAGCAACATCAGCACGTAGTTCACGGGCCCACGCGTGTCTCAATGTAATATCTAAGGTCCCATGATGATAACCGGCATACATGGGGGAAGCCACAATACATTGCCCCACCCAGCGCTCACATCCTAGCTCATGACCGTTCCGACATTTTATAACAATTAGGTGAGTATCGAACTTTACTCCTATTTTCTTGTCCGTGAACCGGTGAACTAGCGTGCATGAGGCTACATGCAGTATCACGTTCATTAGCTACACCCCACACATCATAGTATCGACCAGCGTTACTGGCTCTGTTCACGCCAACTTTACCATGAAACCCAAGTGGACGCTTACGATCTCAGTAGAGAAGGCAGCGATGCAGATACAGATATTCATGAATACAGTCAAGATCATCACAGGGAGCAAACAGGTGAAGGAGGTAAGTATATTTGAACTCGTTGCAGGCAACCGAGTGGAAATGGACTTTGAATTCGTTGTCTTCCTCCATTCGAAGGACAAGGAGGTGGTACGTTTAGGGAAACTCGGGTCGTTGCGGGGTGGGGGAGTGTCGGCTACATCCAAATCTGTAGTGAAGAACAAGACGTTGTACATCTTCATGTAGACCCATGGGTTGCAATCCTAGACTTAATGTGCAGTTGGGGCAACTCAATAAGCAAGAAATAAGATGCTGAAGCATTGGAGCGCAAAGTTATCAATCCGGTGTAGTTAAAAAGTCCCGCAATCAGATAAAGTCGGTAGAGAGCAAGTTACCGACCACCTTCTTTTAAAAGAATTCGGATCTAATTGCTTATCTTAAGCTTACTACTTGTCCGTAGATCGCTTAACGCGTTCGGAAAACAATAGCGAAAGAAAAGCTCGGATTCGCCTTTAGCTAATAAACCGATTCTTGGTTTACAATAAAACTCCACCGCCCCTCCACAATTGCAACTCGACAAAACACCTGCTTCTCAGTTACTTTCCGTAAATCCTCTCAAACCGCATCCCCCCACTCCCCTCCCTCCCCATTCGCTAAAATGAGCCGCTCGACATCCCGTCGGACCAGCGCCTCTGCTGCTGCTCCTGGAGCCCCTGGCCCAGCGACCGAGACGCTGGTGCTGCGCGCAACGCCATCCATCAAGCGCTACAACATTGCGCGCTTCGATGTGCCCGAGCTGCCGAACTTCAGCTCGTGTGCCCAGCCTGTGATGATGTACCGAGAGCCTGAGCGCGTGGACGACGAGGAAGAAAAGGACGACGAGGCGCCTGTGGGCTTCAATCCAGCGCTGCGGAAACGTCGTCGACGTCGTCGCAAAGACACGCGCACGGCTGGCTGGGTCATTGAAGACAGTGCCGGTCAGAACAAGTTCAATGGCACGTTTGAAGGCGGTCAGTCGTCCACGTACATGCTGTTGGTGAAGAACCGACACAATGACGAGTTCAGCGTCATGCCGGTAGAGCAGTGGTTCCGGTTCAAGAAACCGTTGAACTACCGGACGTTGACGCTCGAGGAGGCTGAAGAGATGAACAATGAGAAGAAGCGCGCGGTCGAGCGCTGGCTGATGAAGCACCGACTTGCCGGTGAAGACAAGACAGATGCTGCTGGCGCGGAGACCGTCAGTGCCCCTCGTGTCCGTACGGGCGCAATGCCGACTGCGTCTTCTGGTGCTGCCACTTCTTCCAAGGGAAATGCAGACGGGGACGATATCTTTGGTGCGGCGGAGACCGTGCGTCGTCCACGTGCCCCACGGTCTAAAGCTCGTGGCGAAGGCGCGACGGGAGAAGATGGTGGAGATTTTGAAGAAAAGTTTGATGATGACGAGAGTGACGCTGAGATCCATCATGACGAGCCGCAAGGACTTGAGTCTGACTCGGACGAAGACGAGTTCGAAGTGGACCCGGAAGGAACTGGCAAGTTGACGGAAACAGGTCAAGCGATGAAGGATCTGTTGAAGCGAGCGCAGAATGGAGAGATGCTGGAGAACAGTAAGGACAAGGAAGATGAGGACGACGACGAAGAAGATGACAATTTTTCAGCGAAGGATATGGACGTCATCAAGCGTGATCTGGGTGGCAACATCATTCGAGACCGGTCCGTTGCTTCTGAAGAAGACGCTGCGTCTGGTGAAGCCAAGGCCGGGGACAATGCTGCAGATGGTGTCGCTGCTGCAGACTTGAACGGCAAGACAAAAAGTGCAGCGACGGTCAGTGCTGATAGCGCTAGTGGGAAGCGCAAGGTGGATGACAGTCGTGCGAAGGAAGATACACCTCAGAAGATGTCGAAGACATCGGCAGCTGCGTCTGCCAACAAGCTTACGGAGGCTGGTGTGCAGCAGGAGCTTATTCGCTACGGTGGGCGCATGCGCACGCGAGATTTGCTGCGAAAGCTGAAGAAGCTGATTACGACGGACAATGATAAGGCGCTGCTGAAGGACATTTTGCGTACTATTTGCGATGTGGAAGTGGATGCAATTGACGGCCGTCTGCTGGTGTTGAAGTCACAGTTCCGCTAATCGGCGGCATGGGCTACAAGACAGTATCGTCGCGCGATCAAGCAGATGAGGCACGTCTGCCAGCACGCAATTGTTTTCAAGAGTATCGACTCGCTGGACGTGTTTCCTCGTAAGCAGAGCTTTTCTGTGCGACGTTCGTGCAATGAACGAGAGAGACGGTTGCATGGATTTGGTCGTGCATACGGTGCCTTATCGTTTTACTTCATGAACTGTAACTTGTTGAACTTTGCATCGTGGCTCTAACTTGAAATCTTTGCCCATACGCTAGGATCACATCAGTTTTCCTCGTAAAACAAAGCATCATCAAGCATTGATTATAGCAGTAGTAAGCGCTGCTAAGCTGCACCAGTTGAGCCACCGCTGAAGTCTTTTATTTAGGGATACGAGAAGTACCCACCAGGTCTTCGTTAACCACCCACCACCCTTCATATTACCGTAATTTACTCGCTTTACGCCTTCTGATTGGTTGAATTGAGTAAATCATAGTTAGATATTCCATCCTATCTGAACTCACATTACACACCGCAATAGCCAACGAACAATCTCCTTTATCCCCCTACTGGTCAATATGTACTTCACAATCATTTAAGTCATCTATCGCGAAGTGATCTTTCCATAAGAAAGTCACGTAGTGATGTAACCCAGTCGACCTCCTGCTCTTGGCAGGCAAAACCTTCTCACTCGTCTCTCGCAATAGTGAGTTTGTTGAATCCACGCTGCCTGAACCCTTTACTATATCAGCGAACTCACAAGTCGAGGTACATTGCTTCATTCAGCGTCGAACGGTTACCTACTAAATCGCTGTTGTCACACGTACGTCGTCCAGTCACATACCAAGCACCGTCGCAACGTTTTCTTTTTACTGTGAAATCAGATTAGCACCATAAGAGCGACTGTACTTCTGTCCCTCTTTGACAACAATTTCTCCTTCCATGAGGCGTGCATGAATTCTTGCGATGGTTACGTCTTGGCCTCGTCTTCAACGTGCTGGAATCTGAATACAAGTGCCATACAGTGGCTAAACGCGAGCGATTTGCAATAGAATTGGGTACTTGTACTCACTGTCGCGAGTTTCTATACACAGTGCAAAGAGTGCAAACTGGCACGTGGCAAACTCTACTATTACGACTTCGTGTTTTGGGAACGATTAACTTGGCGCTACCCGCCGCGCTTAACTTACTCGTCCTCTTCCTACAAATGTACGCACATCGGTCTTACCTTTGTCATCCAATATATTGATGTGCCTTCGATCTTACCCCACTTGTGTAATGTCAATTCCTGTTGCAATCGTAGGTCCTGCTTGGCGTGTTGACCCCAGCACCGGGAATCGTGGTTGGAGCTCCGTAGCACCACATGACGCTGCAACAATCATAGGTGATACGGCACCCCCCTTGCGGCACTTAGTCATGTCAGGGATTGTCCCTTACCGTAGGTTGCTGTTACTACTTGCTGCTCCGGTTCCGGTGTATAGTGGGGGAAGTAGCCGCATAATAATTTACCAAACGTCGCCGACATAAAGAGATGCATAGAATATTCAGATGCAGTATTTTATCATTTGTCAATCGGTTTATAAATTATTTTTGAGAGTGGTAGTTTTGTTAATCCTACCAACCAGAAGGCGTAGAATAAGTAAGTTACGGTAATATATAGGGTGGTGGGTGGTTAGCGAAAGCCTGGTGGGTGGTCAACGTTTACTCTTATTTTGACAACACAACCTGCTGATCAACGCAAATTACTATTTCGTCAAATCTGAGAACCGACAATGCAAGTATGCATTCTTGTCACTCATTTCATTCGATTACGCGGATATCTCCAAATAAACCGTCTTATATTTATGAGTATCCATTTAAGCACGTGCCACTGGAAACGAAATGAGCTGTTCTATACGCGACAAATTCATTACCATTGCGTGCGGTCTCTCGCACAAATTCTGGATAGTTTTGAGCCTATACGAAAATACCAAATTGAAAAGCAGGGTGATCGCACGTTCTTCGTGCTGGCCACACGGTATCATCGTCTAATGAAATTCGGTGAGCCTTGGCCTTCTAAATAGATAGAAGCTGTCGACGACGAGCCATATAGTTCAAAAACGCAAGGACGACTTGTGTACATCCGGTGGCTTTAAGATTGTCGAGCTGTGGTGTCGTGTGCGCGTCGTGGTGGAGTCATGGTGATGTTACGAGCAATTCGATCTCGGTTCACTGAACGACGCTTTATAACAATAACCGAGTTTCGCGTAATTTTGTCGATAAGATGTGTAGTGTGGTTTATAGATATCAGTTAGCGCTTATCGATTATATTAATGGAAATGGTTTTCACTACCGCTTCTTCGAACGAGCTCAAAAACAGCTACGTGCATACACCTTTTGCACGAACGGATGAGCTAATCGATACGAAGCTGATTCAATCGCACTGTCATAGATATGGAAATATCCACGAATTGGTCGGACGGTCCAATATCGCGTCATCGACAGGTAAGAGCTTCGACACATCTTCCCTTTTTAAGCCGACATCGCTATCATGACAAAACGTCGCAGTAGTAATTTTCTATGGTATTCTGCACAAAAATCATGCTGATATCGTCTTAAAGCGTAGTAAAAGGATGTGCTCGATTGAAGCCGAAAAGGATGGTAAGCACGTCATACAATCACTGATAAGAATTATATTTTAAGGTCTTCTGCTGTCACATCAAAGTCCGAAACATAAAAACACTATTATAGGACACGCCGGAAAAAACAGTAAAGGCAGATACATCTAACGAGTCTCTTTACAATTCTCCTCGTACTAAATTACGTCATGTAGCGCGTTCCCGTCCTTACGCAAATAAATTCGCAAACGAGGAAGCAGCAAAACAGTATCGCAATCAACGGCTTGTCCGATCATACTCGGAGGCAACGCTGAGGTATTCTGATCAAAAATAGCGCGCTGTCTTCCATTTGTTTTATCACACGCAGTGGCGGTCTTGCTGCAATAGATTAATTAAATCATCACCTACTATGTTTTTGAAACGAGCACGAAGTTGTAAAAGTATCACTCGTTTTGCGTCGACCTGGTCATAAAGTACCATCGACTGGACGCATGCATCCTGATTTTCTTATTTCCCACGTAGAAATCAAAACTTACACAGGTTTGCTATCAACTATGTGTTCGTCAATTTCTAGCAGAAACGGGATCCGCAAGGGATTTGAAAAGATCCTAAGCGCTCAGATTTAGCCAATTTACGCAACATGCTATTTTGATTTGGCTAAAATACGGTTATTGTTGGCATCGTTCGACTATAATGCCAACGGGTTCCTAATGACTAGGGTATATATGATTTATACGATTCACTCCGGCTGTACACCACAGTTATAAACTATTTGCTGCTTCTCATCGTAAACGTGTTACTCGCTTTCGCAAGCTACTCACCACCACAAATGATTTAATTGCTCTATTTGCCTTCTTTTTGCAGCCATTACTTCTTTTTTGACCCACCATCTGTGTTTTTAAGAAATCGTCTTTTCCACCACACTTTTTTCGAATTCCACCACACTACAACTTTTGTTCGAATAACTCCAATGGCGCACCTCACTACCAAACCACCACACGCTCTTGTATACGGATAGTAAGATACTTTGCCCACTGTAAATCGATACAAGGTGTGTAACCTAGTCGGGAGCAGGGCTTAGTCGTTTACTTCACACATACTTACCTGTCCCTGTTTATGTTACTCATTTGATAAGCCGAGTCCAAAATTGAAGTCAAGAATTCACGCCATTCCCACACCATTTTTGAACATACTACGGAGAATGCCATCGATCGCTTTGGAATCTGTTACGAAATCTGGATGAAAAGCTAGCTGATAATTGCATACCCGCCAGCTTCCACCACAAAAAAAACAAGCGACGACGAGGAAAAGGAAAAAGGGTGAGGCACAACTATGAATTGTAGAGGGGGTGCATATGTTATGGATGTCACTCTCGGTATTTTATTTTCTGTCTTGAGTGAGTATGTGATTCAGAAACTCAAGGTAAATCGATACTGAATTATATTTGAGTGCCAGGAAGACGCGTATACGGCAGTACCCAGGGTGTACACATTGCTGAAGACGTACCACCATATACAGCGGTGCTTAGTATCCCACTGGATGCGAGTCTGATGGTCCAGTGTTTGCAGGAGATAGAAGCTTTACAAAATGTTTCGTTTTCATAGTAGCTCCTATCCGAGCGAGAGGACGAACAAAAGCTCTTACTATTGTGCACAAGAAGTTTGGGCAAAGCATCAAGTCCAAATGGTTTGAAAACATTTCGCTACTTTCAGAGGCGTACGGAATTGCGAATGACATTGCCATGAAGAGCTTATGGCACTTAAAGGCAGCAAAGTTTTGTTGATTAGCAGGTTGAACCGTAGGTTGCGTAAGACTACTAAAAAATCAAAGAATCGTACCACCCCTATATTTTTAAATTATTACAGGCGATTGTTTGGCATGTCTAGGGTGCGCTGACCGGGGATCTTGCTTAAAAACGGGGTGGAAATGATGTTGTCGTAAGTTGGTGAGCTGTGGTATAATGACCCTGTAATCACCCAAACAGAAGTAATGGCGAGGTGTATATGGTAAGATGTGTGGTCGGGATAGAAAAAGTGAGGTGAAAATCGAAAGAGCGTGCTTGGAAAAAGGAAAAATGGGGCGGTGGTCACATTTTTTTAAAGGACAAAAATTTACATCTATGGGCGAAGATAACAGAATCAAGTTGTACGTGAAGAGCGCATCAACCAACCGTGTTACTGCAATAAAATTTTCACATTTTTGTGGATATAGTTGGTGCAAACACCTCCTAAATGGCTGCCAACATAGAAGATGACAGTAGCTCGAATGTAGACGAAAGTGAATCGACATATAAGCGGATCGTCTTCCCTTTCTTTTCTCTCTGTTCATTGTTACCACCACAATTTAATTTGGTACCATTGCAAAAATAAGTCACCACAAACCTATTTCCTATTGCCACACCCTTCTTTATGTTAAGATGATCCTTTGTCTCTGTAAATTTTGGACTTCTTCACGTGGCAGCAGATACTTAAAAATGGATCATTTGCTGGCGACACCATCACACACGTCATTCGCTGATCTTGTCCGGCTCTGTTGATCTATTTATCTCTTGTAAGAAAGAGTGTCGTGCTGCTTTTCAATTTGACGATATGAATGTGAGAAGGGAATAGAAAAACGTGGCTAATTTCAGGGACCTGCGATCTATCTTTACCAAAATAGACGTACAAAAGCAAGTGGCAAAGTTCCCGTTTTTGGCGCCAGGTCATTAAAAAGCATCTCGTCTTGAAAAATTCTGGTAAACAATCAACGCTGGCATTATAGCAAATCTAGTAGGGTACGTACCTTTAACTAATTTTTTGAGTGGTCTCACGGTGTGATGGCGTAGTAAGATGCTTTATATGGCAGTGATTGTCGATTTGTTTCATATCTTCGGTGCATCGATTATAGAATTGCATAGACATAAGAAACGGTGTTAATGATTCATCCAGTGGCTGAAACAAATGCCACTACATCACTCACCTTGGTTGAGGCCGTAGATTTAATGATAACGAATCCAAACAATAACCTCTTATTAATTTACGTAGGATTATTTCGATTTCAATGGCAATTTTACCAAATCGGTCTCTGTAGAGAGACTGATTAGCGTATTAGTCGATTAAAATTTAGGTACACACATACCCTCTAGTATTTATGTACCAATTCATAATGTGTAAATAGATACTAGCTACAAAAATCTCGCTTCAAAAAAGCAATAAACAAATAGTTCATTTATCGATGTGCAAAGCTGTACGACGTAGTCGTGGTCTTCCGTATGCGCTAAAGGGTCTTGTAGCAGGCGACCAAAAGCCTGTTTATATGACTTGAATCTAGCTAATCTTCCCAGGATCCAGAATCTGTACTAGTGTGCTAGAAAGCATTCACGAACTCTGTCCTGGACATTCAACAATCGAACAGACTTAAGCTGAAGCACATCTTGGTTAATACTGACGACTTCACATATTACTTGACACCGTCCATGTAACAACCGTTGCTACTTATACATTCTGCAAGACCTGTTACAGTATGAGATCACTCTGCCATTATGCACAATCGAATAACATATCCTAATCCATCAGAAACAATAAATAAACAACTAGTTACTAGTGCTGTAGTGGAGCTACTAAGCGCTCCTAAACTGAGGAAGTCTTCGACCTAAAGAGTCTCTTAGTTATAACAAACTAACAACGACGTACATTCGTTTAAGCGTACAGGCTTATCAATCCCGGTTCCAAAGAGATTACGATTCATAGAATCACACACTGATTAGTCACTACTAGTTAAACAAGAGTAAGTACCTTTGCAAAGCTAACGCTCTTAACGACACAACACGCCTTGACTAGGCACTTGTGTCCAACGATTCAAAAGGGGAACTGAACTTTATTCATTCTTTTAGCTACGGTAATAGAGCCCTAAAACCTTGTCTGAGTGACTTCTACATTGCGATCCTATGACATAAGTCTTATCCCTTATCTATAAGGGGGTAAGGGCCCGTTACCGTCTTACAATCATGTAAAGCCGAGGAAGCGCTCTGATTTATAAGGTAAATTTAACTCTGTTTTTTTTGTGTTTTTGTAATTCGCAGTAAGTGCGAATATGTTCCCTAGCTCATAGGAACCACTCGAATAAAAAACTAATCATTATTGGCTAATTATTGGGTATGACACCCCAATAATGAACCAATAATAAATAGACGCGTAGTATCCGCTATCCGGATACTGCCTACACTTAATAAATGTATTTAGGTATGACTACTTAATATAATGGGTTGCCCCATTACATCACCCCCTCTTCAAGTTGCGCTTACCGTGACGTAAGTGCCAAACACAGAAAGATTCTTCGCAACGAATAGTCCAACGAAAAGCCCACGATAACTTCAACGGCACGTCATCTTGGTCTTCGATCTGCTCAGTTACGAACAACTGAGCAGCATGAACCGTGAACACCCACGCGACTCGACCCCAAATGACAGTTGGGGTCATCAGACACTTCCAAGATAACATGCACCGCAGATCGTGGATGACGACTTAAATCCGTGGGGCTTGGTACAGCGTCGAAGGTGCTCAACAACCTAAATCACTTGAGTCTATGAAGAACCTCTTCACACGATACCGTACCGTTCGAGGCAAAGGAACGAATCACGCAAACACTGGAGGCGCACTGCAACGATCTTGGTGCGCCTTCATCAGACGCTGGAACGCGAGTCGACGTGAAGAAACATCCTTCACATCCTGGATCGAGAGACGCAAAAACACTCATGGCGTTCACGCTATTGGCGACTTACGCCAAGGCATATGTCGTCTGACCTGATGAGTTTCACATGTGTTACGTCCATGTTCGTAAAGGGTGCCCACCGAGTTACAGGTAGAGGTCGCGCCCAATGCGGCAGGAATGGGACGACGTGGTTTGTACGCGGGGAAAACCCCAGCACATCCGACCATGGATCGGCCTCTATGAGAGGAGCCTATCAGAGCTCCAAGTATCTGCGTTGTGTCACATAAGAGAGCGCCCTGTCGATCGGTGGAGGCGTTCGCGTAGCCGAGATCGATTTTCTTACGACCACCATGGTCGTTCTTGTAGTCGCTATCGATCGTCAAGGTATCCAAATGCTCCCGAGCCTCGTTGAAGACCTTGGAGTCGCTCGGGAGATCGTCTTCGATCTCCGATTTACGAGCATCACGGTTCGCGGGATCGTGGAGTGAGTTAACATCGTCAGTCGCGTTCGCCGACCTCTAACTGGTCTCGTACTCCTCAACGACGTCAGGAACATCGCGAGCCAACATACTTCGAGGCTCCCACGTGTCTTCCGTTGGTTAAAAACCCAACCATCGGACCTTATAATTGCGTTTTGTAACGACTCTTCGATGGCGACCGAGACACTTGGCGCAAGAGGCGTGGGGTCTTCATGACCGACGATACGGTCCACAATCCAGCGTCGCTCAAATGATGCAACCAATAGTGATGGAGGAGCATCACGACGGAAGGCCTCTTGGGTTGGGTGTCGATTCTCATAATAATCGGGCGCCTGTGCCGTCGAGTGACAAGCTTCGTTTCCTTCGTGCTGACAGTGAAGAGGCGAAGAACGGCGACCTACTGGATGCCCTTGAGATGGCCGAGAGGGCTCGCGATCGTGCAGCAGCTGTGACAGAGGCTGCCGAGAGGACTCGACGGGAGCAGCAGGGCTTAGTTGAGCGTCTACGACAGCTTGAGACTGCTGCGTTCTGTGGACCCCATCAGAACGAGTCTACACGCGCTCGTGCAGGACTTGGTCCCAGTCGTCGTCAGCGTCGTCGACAGGGGATGTCGGACTTTGAGCCTGATACAGAAGAGCAAGGAAGGTCCAAGGGAGATCCGCCAGCAGTTAAGCCTTAAGGCGACCAACATAGAACGTCTGGTGCAAACGCATAATGGTAGGTATGTCTAGGCGTGTAGGCATCTCCATGTACCTCAACAAACCGGAAGGGACCAATACATCTTGGCGTTAATTTATTAGCACCCAAGTTCGTCACCAAAGTGTCTGGTAATCCACTGGTCGATAACAAGACTCTGTAACCTTCTTTGAACGTCAATGTGCTCTTTCGACCTCTCTTGTCAGCGTTCTCCTTTTGTTTATCCAACTGCTTGTTATAGGGCATCACTAACAAAACGCGTGATGCCTTGCCGTAATAATAGAATTTCGGTTACAGCAGCCGAACTTATAGGAGAAGTGGACTCTTCAGGAGCAAAATTAGCGACGGGAGATGCGGTGGTAAGCATCGCGTCGGGAGTCGATGTGCCATTGGCCACGAAATTAACATTACGAGTCGCATCGGCAGCAACCTTATCTTCAACATAAGCAATCATTAATTTTCCGCGTAGTGTCATAGGCAGATACTCCCCCACCAAGCTAAGAATCCGGGTGTTCTGAAGCTGAAAGAGCAAGAAGCGCTGGAACGCGAGGGTGCCAGCGTTGTGCACGAAAAATTGGCGTCAACCCTATTGACGCATGAACTGCATTGTTGATTACAAATTTAGCGAGTGGGAGAAACGAACTCCACGACGTGAACGATGTCGCGTAACTGCGTAGGAAATTTTCAGGCGCTCTGTTCACGCGCTCCGTTTGCCCATCCGTCTCTGGATGGGCTGCCGTAGACATGAGTAGTCGCGTACCCAATATTTGAAACAACCCTGCCCAAAAAGCCGACGTGAAACGCGGTTCACGGTCCGAAACAATGGATTCTGGCAGGCCGTAATACCGGAAATATGAGATCGATAAAGATCTCCGCCGTAACGTGCGCGGAGACTGGAGCAAAATGCACCATTTTACTGAATCGATAGACAAGAACAGTATGCCTAAGCGTTTCTGTTCATCCGGTGGGAGATCAAAGATGAAATCCATGCTGACTGAACGCCAGGCTTCCGTGGGGATTGGTAGCGGTCGCAATGGGGCTTGTGTAGACGGCGCATGTTTCACACGCTGGCATGTTTCACACGAGTGTACCCATTTCTGGATGTATTTGTGCATACGCGACCAGATAAACAAACGAGAAATGGCCTCGAACGTCTTTTCGCGACCCAAATGACCGCCAACTGGAGTGTCATGATATATATGCACCAATCGTGCGCGGAGGTCGTCACCAGCAGGGATTACGACGCGCGGTCGGTCAAAGACGTCAAAGACGTCTATTGTAAAAGTCAGCAGTGGACCATCAAGCGCGTAACGCTTTATGTTATCACCCGTTGGTTTCATCAACTTCGCGAGTGAAATCTCACTAGGGTTTCGAAGGTAAATAATAATTTCCGTGTAGGATGAGCCATTCGCATATGACTCAGCAATTTGAGTCCGGATTGACAGCACAGGTGTCGAAATCATTGCATTGAGCCCCTGCTCAGCACAACATAAACAAATGTCGTCGTCCTCGTCATCGGCACTGCCTGGCTGATGACCCATGTCACGTCGAGGATCACAATTGGGACGTCGAGAAAACGCGTCAGCGAGAATGTTGCTCTTGCCGGGCTTATAAAAGACCACGAAAATTATACTTTAAGAAGTATGACAACCAACGTGCCATAAGCTGGGACAAGTGGGGAGCCTTGACGGCGGTACGTAATGATGCGTGATCTGTATAGACTGAATACATCTTCTCGCCGAGAAAACTATACTCTGAACTTGATCAGCGCGTAACGCATAGCCAAAAGTTCCTTGTAATAAACCGGATGATTTCTTTCTGCAGGTTTCATCTACCGTGACTGAAAGCTCACGATGCGCTCTCGGCCCTCATCGTCAAAGTTCCAAGGGGCACATCCGATGGTGAAATTACTCGCATCACAGACGACGTGAAATGGCTTGGAATCATCAGGCAGCGTTAGAACAGGTGCCTCAGACAAGTTCTTTTTCACGGAGTCGAAGGCAGACTGATGTTCTGCCTTCCATGAACAAACTGCGTCTTTCTTCAGTAAAGTCGATAGTGGCTGAATTAGATCTGCATAGTTCTTCGTGTACTTATGCAAGTAATTGGACAAGCCAAGCCATTGGCGTAGTTCCGTTTGGTTCCCGGGCGTAGGCCAGGAACATATCGACGACACTTTCGCGGGATCAGCACAAAGACCCTCCTTGCTTACATAGCATTCAAGAACTAGAATCTCGGGAGCACAGAAGACACACTTCTTCAAATTTGCGTACAATTTGTTGTCGCGCATAACTTGGAACACCTGTTTCAAATGCCGAAGGTGGATTTCCTTAGCGCTGAGTTGTTGCTCAGCGCGGCTGTGAACAGAAACTTATCGTCAAAATAACTTGGTGCAAAATTGCGTAATGTACGAAGTACTTGTGTCACCATCCTGTTGAACGGTTCTGGAGCGTTCTCAAGGCCTTGTGGCATGACTAGCCACTCCCAAAGCATCCCACTTGGGAGTGCTGACAGCAGTTAAACGGAATATCACTGTCCCTTTTTTGAATCTGTTAAAACCTGTCCGTCAGGTCTATGACGCTGAAAATCTCGCTGCCGGACATGGTATCCAATTACCATGTCTTTGCGTGGAATCGGCGTTCGAGAAGGGATTGTGGCGTCATCTAATTTGTTAAAAGCATGCACTATACGCCAATTGCCGGTCGCTTTCTTTACACAGAAAGTTGGGCTCGAATGTGGCAGGATGCTTTTGTGCAAACACGTCCTGTCTTACGGCGGCCCACAAAAAATTAATCAATCGCGATGACTTAATCACGTGGTAGCGGCCACTGCCGCGTCACGCAATACTTCGATCCTGGCACGAGATCGATCTCGTGTCGCACTCCACGATCCGCTGAGAGCACAGCGGGGATTTTTTCTGGGAAGATGTCGGCGTAATCACGCGCGATATCATAGACTGGGTTGCCCGAAGCACGAAGGGCTTTCCAAGACTGTGCCGCGAAATGTTCTTCGCGCGCTATGTTGGGATCGGTGCTCTTTAGGCGAGCCTATAGAACTTCTTCACTACCTGCTTCGGCGGCTAATATGATGCACACTTGCTCGATGTCGCCGGCCTTGAGATCCTGAAGGGAATCTTTCCGTGGTAGGGCTGATAGAGATGTGATCTCTGCAGTAGTGCACGGAGGGCTTGCTACATCAACGGAGCGGCTGAGATGTGAAGAACCTCCACAAAATTAAGCGCACATACGGATTCCGTCACTTGCAGAATCATCTTTGACAGCGCTTGAGCGAGAATTTCGTTGTCTTGGCAAACGGCGTGCACCTCTTGCGTTTTCGCTTTCTCTTGCGTCTCGAGCCACTGTTCGAGACTGGCACGTCGCTGTCGCTCGAGGATGAAGTACCCCCTTACAGACGTGGGAGCTTTGTCTCCACGAAGTCGTTCACATCCGAATCCACAGTCCGTTCATTCTAGTCGATAAGAGGCGGGAGCTCGTTGTCGACCGTCTCAGAAGTATGTGGGAGCCTCTGCTTGACCACCTTGGTAACAATCGGGGGCCTTTGCTCGACCGTTGTGTGTGTATGCAAGGCTACTGCTCGACCACCGCGATATGGATTAGGAGCATCTGCTCGTCCGTAGTGGCATGCGGGAGCCCCTGCTCGACCGCCTCAATATTGATCGGGAGCCCCTGCTCGACCGATGTCTGAAATTGCGGGACCCCTGTTCAACCGCCTCGTGTTGTGGCTCTATCAGTATGACTGAACATACCGGACAAAGAGGGCCGTCGCTCTCTCTGTGCTTACTTCTAGTCGTGGCGAGTTCGTTCACGAACCGGACGTGAAGCCGATCGGATAGCGCAATCAGCAAATGGGTGAAGAATTCACTCACGTCATAACTGCTTCGTCTTTTGACGGACCGAGATATCCAGTCTATCGTCGGCTGACACCGTGAAATCCACAGTATCCCCAAGATGAAATCGAATGCATAGATCATCTCATGCACCAGAAATTCTTCGTTGCTTTGAACGCCGTCAAACGTATACGGTAAAACCACTGTTTTACGCGGGGGGACACGCTGTAGTTTTCCATCAGCAAGTTTGACAAAGATGTCACCTGTACCTTCTCGAACCGGAATTGTAGACGGGAGAAGGGACAAACATGATGCTCGAAAGAAGTTGCTGGATGCACTAGAATCCAACAACGCTCGGAGTGGTCCCAACGATGAGACTGATAATTATCAGTCTCGAATTGTCGCGCATGGTGGTGGCATTGAAGTGAGTACGTATCACTTTGGGGCTAGGAGTCCAAGCTGCCACCTGAGTACTCGGGGCTCCATTGCTGTTAGTAGGGCGCCTTGCGCCTACTGAAACCGCTCGTGTTGTGGCCGGACCACCGACGACACAGTATCTCCTCGTGAGACAGCTGTGTTCATGGACACCGGCGCTCGTGCTCGGCAGACGGCCGCACGGTGGCCTGTCTTGCCGCACTGATAACAATTTATTGTGTTTTTGACTTCGAATTTCGCGGCCAAATGGTTTGCCGCGACCACGAGATGTACCAATAACGTCAATTTATATTGGTATGGGCCAGACATACGCGGGCGTTGCTGCGCTGCCTGGAAGTATGACGACGCGACCGTGTAATCTTCACGAAGTGCGAGGGCGAATGCCTCCTCGAAAGGCTTCGGCTCAGCATGTGTAAGGCAATAGGGGGTCATGCCCTCTTTCATACCGAAGACAAAGACATGAACTTGTGAAGCCATGTCGATCGGCTGCGTGGTCATACACGAAGCAAGATGTCGCGTCTTCTGCACGTAATCACGCATCGACAGCTTACCCTGTCGAAGTGAAAAGAAGTCTGCACGCAAGCGTAACTCATCTTGAGGGGGCTCGAACGCCAGTCGTAAGTCGCGCTGGATATCTCCTAGTGTGGGGGACGCCAAATCGCTTACAACAAGCTTCCCAAGAGCCCATTCTTTGGCTTTACCAACAAGTCGAGACAGCAGGAAATGAACCTTGGCCATCGGACCTTTAATCAACCTTGACGCTATGGCGATATTAATCTCCCTAAGCCAGAGATTAAAGGGGAGACAATCTGGACCATCATTAAAGTACGTAGACGTCTCCATTTTAATTGCGTCGAAGTGGGACGGGCGCGAGGGAGTCTGTACTCGCCGGTTCGCTTCGGCGAGCTCGTGCTCAATGTAGTCTTGAATAGCGGCACGGTGTTGTTCGGGCGTCGCTGTGCTCAGCAGCGATGTCACGAAGATTTCACCAGATACCGCCGCGAGGCGGTGTAATGCCTGCCATTGTACTATAGAGAGATGGGAAAAATCTGCATGCTCCAGAGAAAACGCTGGAGCCATCGAAGATTCGTTCATGTCTATCTAGAACTTGTTCATAGGAAGGACTACCAAGTTCTATTAGGTGTAAGGGGGTAAGGGACCGCTACCATCGTACAATAATATTAAAGCTGAGGAAGCGCTCTGATTGGTGAGGTAAACCTAACTCTGTTTTTTTGTATTTTTATAATTCGCAGTAAGAGCGAATATGTTCCCTAGCTCATAGGAACCACTCATAAAAAAATAATCATTATTGGCTAATAATTGGGTCTGACACCCCAATGATAAATAAACAATAAACAGACTCACAGTATCCGCTAACCGGATACTGCCTGCACTTAATGTATGTATTTATGTATGACTGCTTAATATTATGGGTTTCCCCATTACATTTTCCTAACCGATAAGGTGCGGTATGACCGTAAGAACATGGTACCAATATTGTACCACACAGATCCACCGATCTTTACCAGGTGTGGACACACAAAATACCTGGTTTGATTACCACGTGTGACTCCATTACACCCTTCCTCAACAGACTATCGACACCAGGATGTCAATAAATCTTCTACTGCGCTCTGAGGTCTGTCAAAGCTCTGGTACTTGACTATCGTGTTCACAACACATCTCAAAATTGACTGAGTCAAATCGTTCATCCAACACCCTGGAAGACTTTCTTGAAGAGGGTATGGTGGACTACGAGAGCGACACCGTCGCGTCGAGTTTCTATGGATCGCCTCTAGCTACGCTACCGATGCGTGACACCACGCACGTCGCGCCTAACCCCTTCTTGGAACGCGAGGAGGTACCTTCACCCTTTGCACAGCGTGCAATCGTCGAGCCTGCGTTGGGTGTGTTACACAACACTCGTGATGAAAATCAAGGTCAATGTTTCCAGTTGGACAATATGCGCAGGCGTTAAGTACAATGTGTAGCCACAGCGTATGCTCACAGTGGTTACCGCTTCACACGACCAAGTGTAGATGAGCGTATTCCTCAGAATGTTGGGCAGTCACTCGCAACATGGGTCACGGGACCAAGGCTACCACAGCCACGACACTAGCGAAGAGGGAGGCTCTCAGAGCGAGATACCTGGGATCGAGCGTATGGCCGACCAAGATTACCTCGACAAGCTGAATCTGCAAGCACGAGATGCGTCTGTGTCCGCCATGGTCGTTCTGTTCCCTGGTGAGACAGAGGCGGAATTTGATGCCGTCTTCGCTGGTCTCACAGAGCTCATCATTTACTAAGCCAACAGAATAGCTAAGAGAGCGATTGACTAGCTGACGTTCGGCTTGAACGAAAGACGCGCTTCGATTTCACAAAGCAAGAGGCCAAGGGCCAACTGCTTTCGTTCTATCGCACCCGCTATGCTGTAGCATCTACGGACCAGCGCACCAGTGCACCTGCTGCAGTAACAGCCTTCTCCACTCCCGCACCGACTAGCGGGAAGCGGTATGGGTCGACTGACTCTTAAGACGAAGCTCAAAAATTTAACGACGTACAGAAAATTCTGCCACAGTGGCACTTCGTACTCCTACGATTTCTCCGACTAAGGGTACCCCGCCACTGTACCAAGTACTGATTCTGACCGTCACGACGAAGAAGCTGCAGGATTTTTTCAACATGGTACTGTTTATCACCTAGCATATTAACAAGAGCAGGCGGTGGCTGGTGAGTCTCGACGCGCAGTCGACGAGTTAGTGCGCGAGGTGCATGGTCTTCGTGACCACGTGGCGCGTCTTGAAGGCAACTTAATCTTATTTTGAGGACTCCTCGCCTCGAGGCAGCGCCAACTCCTTCGGCGCAAGCGCCTCGTGATCCACTCAAGACGGACCAAGATTAGGTTAAAGCAAGCTGACGTAAATACATGGGTTGTGTTCGCATCTTACATGTAAGGTTGGCCTTAAGCGCTAGAACCTTCTTGGCCACAAGCGTGAACTGCCCAATGTAGCGAGGACGCGACTCGATTCTACAGACCACTGAGACCACCACCACCGAATGATTGATGCTGAACTTTACCATTTTTTGTAGAATCTTATCAATTTGTTAAAATTTAGTAAAATACTAATCTGAACTTTTAGGGTTCAGTAAGACTAAATCATCGACTTCGTGACTCCCAATTCACTTTCTGCCTTTGGAACCAGCTAATATCCGTTTTGTTTGTCCTGGCTACCAGCCATAGTGTCGCGTACATGTCTTAAGACATTCAATTGCGTAGCGGGAAACTCACTCACCTGTTTCCGAACGTTTTTCGTTGGGATGGACTCAGCAGGTAGATCGGCTATTCCTCTCCCTTACCGAGCCCAAAACAACGTAGTGGAAGCATTAACGGAACAAGTGGGTGAGTGAGACTATTCACATGGAATACAGTAAACTGCGTATAGGAATGAACGACGGTTTTTTAATGCAAACTTGACCACCGGAAGCATATAGCTCCAACGCCTAGGCGCATCAGCTCACACGCTGCGTATAAATATCACTAATGACACAGTTGACGCACTCTATCGGACCAGAGGTCTGCGGAAATGAATTTCCAAAACTTTCCAGTGAACGTGGATCACGATTAGAGTAATAGCCATAGGCAAACCGTGTTTACGGAACACACGGTAAATAGACTGTACCTTCACCATCTATGGTTCCAGGCTCACCCGCTCAATGAGATACATATTGCTTAAACGGTCGACAAAAACCACAATACCAGTGTTTCCTTCTTAATCCTTCGGTAGGTGAAGCACAAATTCCATACTGATGGACTCCAACACCCAGTGATAACTAGGTAAAATCGTTAAAGGAGCAGCCGCAAGGGCGACGGGTTCGCCCTGTTGACACGCATCACAAGTACGCACATAATTGCTCACCCACTTGTACAATTTGAGCCATCAAAAATATTGGCTAACCGAGCCATATATCTTTTCTCTACCGAGATGACCGCTCCAAGCTATCTCATGCGATACGATACTTCAGTTCCGTATCATGAGGAACTATGATGCGCGAAAAATCCGCCACATCCGTGCTATCGCACAGTTCGCCATTATCGAGAGAATATCGATATATATCCGCACGTAATCGAGTCGACAACTTAATGTCCGAGTCTCTGAACTAAACGCAGCCTAGTGCGCGCAATAACGCTATACCCTGCTTATCCTTGGCACAAGCCGCACGTATTTAATCAGTGATAGACGACGACAGAGAAGTAACACGAGCAATCCATAATTGGACCTGCGTGTCAACGCATAAGCTAGAGCAATTGTTTTCCTGGCTATTACTTCAAATCAAAGTTATATTTCGCAAGGAATGGAAGCCAACGGGCTGTTCGTTGTGAGAGGTGAGGCGATTGTGTCGCAGTGCGTAATAACGCATGATCTTAATAGGTCACAAAAGGCTTCGAGCCAAGCAGTTGCACTCTGAATTTTACAAGAGCGTACGTCATTGCCAGTAGCTCCTTGTCATGAAATGGACAGTGCTCCTCTGCAGCTTTTAGATGGGGCGACTCATACGCGATGACGCGTTCATGTCCATCTAAATTTGTCTGCCATAGTTCACTGCAAATGGCAAAATTAAACGCGTCACAGACGACACTGAAAAGTCGCTCAAGGGTCAGGCAAAGCCAAAGTTGGAGCATGAAGAAGACTGTTTTTAATAGCTTCAAAAGCTCGAGCATGGACTACGTCTCAACACCGAACTGCTTACTTCTAAAGGGGGGTTGGTTTAAGGCCTTGCCATGTCAGCGCAGTTTGCACTTTACTTTTGCAGTTGAGCAAGGCGAGCCATTCTACGCAAGTCATTTTAATTTGACGGAACCAATAGGTCAACACTTGACATTACCTTAGTGGGATCCATCTTGAAAGCCACGCTTCCCAATGAAGCACCCGAAAAAGAGAATTTCTGCCGCACCAAAATTGCAGTTTGATATACTTACATACAGATTGCTTCATGCGCATGCACTCGAGTACTGCTCGTAAATGGTCTATGTGATTGTCCACATCTGATCTGCCATGATCTGCACGGCTATGGACAAAGGTGTCAGCGAAAAGCTCTGTGCTTATCCTTGGTGTGATCGGAACAATTGCGTCACAAGACGAGTGAATGTAGCCGAGACGTTAGACAGCCCTTGAGGCATGACAAGCCTCTTCCAAAGCATGCCGCTTGGAATAATAACCGCTGTGAGCGGATTACACTCGCTCGTATAAGCAATCAATAGTACCCATCGACCAAGAAGAGCGCACTGAACATGGTACAACCTATCATAGCGCTCTGAAGAACATCATTTCTAGGGATAGGCGTCTGTGCCGGTGTAGAGGCCGCGTAAAGATTTTTGTAAGCATGTGCAATGCGCCACTTGCCGTTTGGCTTTCTTACACAAAATGTCGGTGTAGAGTGCGGAGACTTGCTCTCACGTACCATGTTAGCCGCTTGCTTTGCACGAAAGAACTCATTAATGACGTCACACTGCTCCTTTAGTAGGGGCCATCACCGTGTCACAAAGTATTTGGTTCCAGAAACCAGGTCAATTTCAAGACGTACGCCTCGATCAAAAGGCAGAGTGGAAGGTGGATCGTGACACACCACATCCAGGAACTCCTTAACCAAAGGATCTACTGCTGTTCCATGAATCTTTGAAGATCGAAGACCCACTTCTAGCACTCAGTGCCGCCTTTGTGTTTTCCAAGACAGCTTCGTCAAGAAGAGATGGCAAGTTCAACTCACTGTTGGATCTAATGACCACCACTTTAGATAAGTCACTGACTTCAAGGTCAGGCCAAACTCATCGACAGACATTTCGTCTAGCTCTAACAGAGTATCCAGCGAGACTATAGTCTTAAGACTCACTGGTACATCAACGTCACCATTCAATTCATTAACGAGTGTAATAATCTTCTCGCTAGTATGACTCAGTGACGTAACAGAAGCCTTGAGTTGCATAACGTCACTCTGGCGTCGCTGTCGTCTCTGTAAGGAGACCGAATATCTGAAAGAGACTGGCATTTTCTCGTTACCAAGGTTGATAGCATCATCATCCTTAACATGCTCTGTTTAAGAGCTGGCGTCATTGAAAGACACCCGGGACATTAATGTCCTCAAGATTGACATCATCGTCAACCTCAAGTTGCTCATTACCAGAGCCGATATCATTAATGACATCCGGGACTACACCGCCCCTAAGGTGACGAACGGCGTCAACCTCAATTTGACAAATAACAGGGCCTATGTCATTACTGACATCTGGGACTACACTGTTCCCAATGTGACGAACTGAGTCAACCTTAATTTAATCTGTTTGTGATCCGATGTCATTACCGATATCTTATGATTAGTCACTTCCATTGAGTTCACCACACAGTGGTTACTTTCAACACTCATCATATCTTTTCTTAATACTTTTTTCACCAACAATTTTTCTCCATTCATTTGTCACAGTGAGTTCACCACCCAGTGGCTACTTACGTGCCATTCCACGATCACCAGATGGGTTCAACCCGTGATGACTTGGCTCTAGGTCAACAATGCGCTCAGCATTTAGTGATTTGTTATCACGACGATGATCACTCGATGGAGTACGTGCCGTTTTACTAATGGTCAACGAGCTTGGCTCGCAGCTAAAGGTAATGACATCGGATTACCTTAAAGAGTTCAGACATACCGATGTTCAGCACACTAACTGTATCAGATTCGTGGTCCGCGCCAAAAGCGTTTATGCTTCCTAGTAGAGGTGGGCCCATGACTCTCCGGATCTCCACTAGGAACAGTGCGCGTTTCGCCTAAGGTCTTTGACTTCCAATCAATCCAAGGATCATGATGTTCCAGCCAAGCCATACCAAGAATATGATCATACCTCTCATCCAACTCAAGCACTAGACGGCATTCGATACCTTTAAAGTCCGAAAACTTCACGCCTGGGTTCACAGGAACTTTAGGCACAGCGACTTATGGACCTGTCGCCAAGCGAATTGTGATAGTCTCACTCTACCGCGCTTCAGCGCCTCAGCATGCTGTTGACTCCCTTCCAGTGAACAGCACCAGAACAACATGTCCTGATGCCCCGGAGTCGATCAATATCGACCATGGCTTATCAAAGCCCTTAAATGCTGATTTGCAGCTAATAATCCCGGATTGTACGCATGCACCGTGACATTGTGCACGAATTCACTTGGGGCTAGGCCCTGTTCTCCATCACCTCTCAGAGGTACAACAGAGCCAAATTTTTTCCAATCAGGGCGCCCTGCGCCTACTGGGACTCGACGTTTTC